GAGTACTACTCAGCCATAAAGAATGAGAAAATAGGGCAGGGGATTTAGCTCAGCAGTTCTGCTGCCTATTTCACAAGCACAAGTTCTGAAGTTCAGTTCCTGTTACAAAAAAAAAAAAAAAAGAACAAGAAACTAGAGACATTTGTAGCTAAGTGGTTGCACATTGAGGCCATACACTTAAGTGAAATTAATAGGACACACATGTGTAAATACCAAGTAGTTTTTCTGGTATGAAAAACTAAAAGTGTAAATAAGGATCAAATATGTAATATTGTGTAATAGGAAGAAAATGTCTAAATGGGAAGTGAGAGAGGTAGGGGAAAGGGAAAAGGAAAAAAAAAGCTATGAGAAAAGCAAAAAAATGAAACAAAGTCTTTGTAAACAGGGAAGGATGAAGGGGGTGAAGGGGGGCAAGGGAATGAGGAAAAATGAAAAACCAAGACCTCTCATGTAAAGGTACAAGATCCCAATGATGAATGTAACTGTACTGTATACCTAAAATGTACCGATAAACTTAATGGAATAAATTAAAAGTTGAGAGAAGTACCAAGGTGTATGAGACCTGGGTTTAGTACATTAACTTCTAGTACACTCAGTAAGTTCTGAGGAGGACTCAAATACTTTTAGGCCTGTAATACTGGGCAAAACATTTTGCTCTTGTCATTTTTGGTTTAATCCCTTTGCCTCTGATACTTGTAAGCAGTCGATTTTTCCCCCATGCCAGCTGTGCTCTAACATTTCAATAAATTAAAAAGTCATTACCTCAATAATGGATTGGTTACTGAGTTTAATCACCCTGAAAAAAATACTTAGATTTTCTTTCATTTATGGAATTATAAAATGTTGCATTTCTATATGGTCCATCATCTTGAAGCCCCTAAAAATGTCAGACCATTGCTAACACAGACTGACATTAACAACATAAACAAGTAGATGTGTGGAGTCAAAGGATCTCCTCCAGGGAATGAAGGCTGATGACCCAAAGGAACTGATTCCACATTAACTAGGAAAGGGCAAACAAGAAACAGCAGATCTAAAACCCTGGGCTTCTTCAGCAGACAGGATTGAGTGAATAGAATAGTCCATAAATTAATAATAACAAAAAATTGGTTATCTTCAAAGAATTACAAATTCACTGTTTTTAAAACTGGTAAATCAAGAAAACAAGTCAAGCATACAGAAAATAATCATAAAAATACATTTTAAAATAAAACTTAAGCTAGGTACTGTTGTGCACACCTATAATTCCAGCTCCTTGGGGACCTGAGGCAGAAGGATCACAAGTACGATACGACCTGGGCAACAGAGAGAATCAGCCCCCCCCAAAAGCCCCCCAAAATAAATAAATCTCCAAATAATTTAATGAAGCAGTTGAGAATTTCTCTCATTTTATATCTATATTGATTAAATGGGAAATAAAGCCCAATAAAAGGAAATGGCTTTTGTCACCAACTTCTCTGAAACCTGTTTTCTGAGAGGGCTTGAACTGTGTTCTGTCATCCCACTTAAAGATGTTGTCAAACTTTATAAGCCACTCCCCTATAGTGAGCAACAACTCCTCACTGGATCAATTTAAAGCAAGTAACAAAAACTGTCAGTTCAGTTTGTCTGTCACTACTCTGTAACTCTACAGAGTAGAAGGGGTTTGTACATTACCCTTTCTTGAAATAAATTGCTCTCAAAGCAAATCAGCCAAAAGAAATGAGCAGTTTTACTTCAGTGAGCAGTATTACTTTAATAGCTTTGTCCAGTCTCCCTACCAATTCACTTCTGAAAGCATGATGAACTGGTGGAGGACTTAGCTCAGTGATTATGCCACCTGCCTTGCAAGTGCAAGGACCCAAGTTCAATCTCTGGTATCAAAAACAAACAAACAAACAAACTTCCTACTCTTAAAAGCATGAGGAAAATTGAAAGTGTAAATGAGGATCAAAATGTATAATAGATAATGTGAAATAGGGAAAAAAAGGTCCAAAGGGGAAGAGGGAGTGGGAAGGGTTGGGGAAGAGAAAGAAAGGAAAGGAATAAATATAAGAAAAGAAAAAAAAACAGAAGCAGTCTTTGCAAATAGGGAGGGATGGAGGGGTTGAAGGGAGGGCAGGGGGATGGGGAAAAAAATAAGAACCAAGATACGTCATGTAAAGGTACAAATTCCCAATGATGAATGTCATCGCGTACCGATAAACTTCATGAATAATAATTTTTTTAAAAAGCATGAGACAAGGGCAGGGGATTTACCTCAATGGTGCCGCACCTGTCTGGCAAGCACAAGGTCCTGAATTCAATCCCCCCATACCAAAAACAAATAAATACATAAATAAAAGCATGAGATGAAAAGCATGGAGACCATGCTAATTATTTTAGGTTTAGTTCATGGACCTGTTTCTTAGCCAGCTTGGTGTCCACATCCTCTGCCAACTCACTGGACAGCTCCTCCCCAGAGTGCAGTGCACTTGCCTTCCCTCTTCTTATTGGCCATGCCCATGAGAATGGCCAAGCACAAAGTAGAGGAGGGAGCAGCAGCATGCAGATTCCAGGCTAGACCTCCAAAATTCACGTTTCCTTTTGTCTTTTTGCATTTACGTCTTCATCATGAGAAAAATTTCCGCTAGTGGCTGCTGCCTGTCTAGCCTGGGATCCAAAATGAATACACATGAAAGGGACCTGACCCAAATGTGCAGTGACAAGGAAAGCTCAGCAGTTCCAACAACTTGAAGTAGAGCTGCCAGGAAAGCACAGTTTCAACCTCATGATCCTCAGATTCATAGACAGGATAAGCACTCGTTTGAGCCTCTGAGTTTGTGGTGGTTTCTTATATCCCAAGAATATACTGATGTATCGTGTGTGCCAGTACGGGATGTGATAGTTCAACCCTCCCCTGAAAATGCTTCGTAACCAAAAATTGTGCCATTTCCCATATCCCATTACTTTCCTGTGTTACTTTGGACCTCAGCTCCCTTTTGCAGGCTCAGTGACAGGATAATGCAACCCAAGTGTTGGCAATACAATTCACATATATTCATTTCAGCCCTCATCCCTCACCTCCCCATTATGCCTTTTGCTTCTCCCAACTGCGATTTTGATTTCATCCTTTACGTGGCTTTTGCCTCTCTTTCAAGATAAGGATTGGGAGTTGATGGAAGAAAAAAAAAAGCAAAAAAATGCCTTGCTACCATTCACATTCCATTGTAAACTGCATCCCACCTCTAGCCCATTTTGTCATTTCTGAACCACCCATAGGTGGTTCACTTTAGTCATTCCCGATTTTGCAACTGCAAGACATTGCAGAGAAATATGCTAGATAACAGAGAACATTTGCTTAAGGAGAAACCCAATTCTGTCTTCCCTTGCCAGACACAATTCACAATCCTCCTGGAGACAAACACACAACTGCAAAAACATTCACAAACCCAGGATTCCCTTGCTGTCAGATGTCTGCACTTCCACCTTCATCCTGGGACTGGGGCTTTCTCCTCTCTGGTTTCAGAGAACTAGACCACTCAGGGTCACCACCTGGACTGTGGCCATGGTCATAGGTGACACCTTCCCTAGGAATTTCTCTCCCCATTGTCCTCTTTCTGGATTACAGCTACCATGGCTGAATTTCACAATGATGCTTCTCCAGGACAGGGAAATCTCTTCTATGAAATATCCCATACTCTTGGTTCAGCGAAAGTATCCCCCAAGGACTAAACAAAAAATTATAAAACTGCATGATCATATCTAGGGTATTCTAAAGTACTCCTATATGTCAATGTTCTTAAATCTATCTTTAATCAACCCAGAAATATTTATTGAGAAAAAGAAATAACAGTAATTTGGTGTCCGCTGTTGCCGAGTACTTTATATATCTTATTTAATTTAACTCTCATAGCAACCATGTAAAATATGCGTTTTTATTGCACATCATACTGAGAGGAATTAAGGTACCAGGAGACTCATTTAACCTCAAGTCATCCAGCTAGGAAAAGGTGAAACTACTCATTGAGTAAACAGGTCATCTCACCAATTTCAGAATTACCTTATTTTACATGACATCAGCTGCACTGTGATAAGCAAGAAATGTGCATGTCCTCCACATCTCCCAGCCCTCATTCAACACATAGGTCTCTATTAATTAAACCCATTCATTCATTCCTTCAACACACTCAAACTGAGTACCTTTTCTGTCTAAGACTGAGGCAAACACCCTGAGGTTTTGCTCCTTGCAGTGAACTGACTAACGGTCAACTTGTAACACCCAGCTGAACTGAGTCAGCATGGTCTGGGCGTGGAGGATCCACCTGAAGATTGTTACCAATAGCCATAAAAAGACAACTGGGGAGGAAGCTCTTGGCCTGTTGATTTTCTAGAAGAAGCTTGCTGTGGATGGTATTCCTGATGCAAACTAGGATGTCCTCATTGGAGGAGGAGCTCAGGACCTCACTGTCACTGGGAATGGCTGCTGCTTTTATCAGGGAAGCTTTGATCTTTACCGTGAGCATCACTTCCTGGCTCCAATGTGGATCCTTCAGCTTGGTGTCACAGATCCTTCATCTCACCGGCATAGATCTTCTGACTTCCACCACTGGCCTTTGGGCCTTCCAGGTACAGATCCTCAACACAGACTAGCATGAGAATTGCTGTGGGCTCTAGGCCACTGGCTGGATTCTGACATTGCCGTGGACTCTAAGCCTTTAGCAGGACTTGTGTGAGAAACTTCTGGGATCTAGGCCCTCAGTTGAATGTTTTGGGTTTCTACTGCATGGTTAATTTCTTGCACTCCTTTGCATTTGACTCTTTGGGTAATTATCATAAAATAATCTTAGAAATTATATGTCCTGTATTTAATGTAGTCCCTTGCCCAATCCTGCTGACTACAACACTCCTAAAGAGAAATACAGAAATTTAAAAAAGGTTTATTATCAGATTACATACAGTATGCTCAGTCCATTTTGTAGTAGGGTCTCTTAATATAAATCTAAATATTAATAGTATCATTTATCAGACCATTTTCCCACCTTGGATTCCGGTTACCCCTGTATGAGTGCCAAACTCAGCTTTCTTTTCTCAAGATGCAATTCATGATTTCCTATGAGGAGAAGGTAGATAAGTGTTTGGTAAGAAAATAGATGGGATCTGATTGAGATAGATGTCTGCACAATTTTTTTATTATGTCATTTTGACATGGAAATTGCTTAATTCTAATTGATCACATGTCTTCAATAATAATGATCAGACTCCATCAAGCTAGTTATTAGTTCAGACCAGGGGCTTGTTAACTTCCTAATTAGCTCATTGTGAGTACTGTGCATATTCAAAACAGACCCTAATGACAATCATTTAAACCTCACTTCATCTTACTTTAAATTATTTGGGTCTTTCTATTTCCCACTCCACTGCAAACTCTGCTGAAGCTCAGCATGGGCACTGGACCAGAAGGCAGAATTTAGCTACTCAGGTTGTGTAATGTTCTGCAAATGCAAGACACCTGTACCACTCCAGGACAAGGCTGTCCTATGCTCCTCTCCTTTCCAAACTCTGACCCAAAGTCACTCTGTTCCAATCTCAGGTCCATATCCACTCCCACTTGTTTATTCATTCACTTATTTATAGTACATCCACTTCATATGACCTCTGAGCACAGAGTGGGCACTTCCCTGTCCGGAAGGAAATGTCACTATACTGGGGTGATCACCAGAGGCTTGGCATGCCCTGTGACAAGAACTACCCTGCTAGAGAAAGTAAAGTTACCATGAGGATGTGTAGGAGTGGAATCTAATCCAGATCGGAGAGAGCAGAATAAGCTTTCCTGAAGAATTAAAATTATAATTATTTACCTAAAAGATAATTCAAGGCTAACCATATAATATGAGTGTCTTTGGGGAAGAGGAACTTCAATAGAAATGAGGAACAGGGAAATGTTCCAGGCAGAAGGTGTGTTTGCAAAAGTCTCAAAAGTGGAAAAGATAATGATGCTCTTTAGAAATTTTTGAAAAGCTAAAAGTTTAGTATTTTGAGCAAATGATATAGGATGGAAGGAAAGTGGTCAAGATAACTGCAAAGGACTGGGAGACTTATTTTTATCTCCTTGCTCCATCCACATGAGAGAATTTGGACTTGACCATAATAAGCCTAGATCCCATCATAGCACATGCTAGATTAACAATGCTTAACCATCCCCACTTTGGCAGCTGCTTGATATCTCTTTCCAAGCCAGTTCAGACAGCAGTAATCATTTCAAAGATCCCAACAGAGATCTCTATTACATCTCTCTCTGGTAGTATAGTGGTCATCCTTGCCTTTGTCCTCTCTGAGTTTCATTACTTTGACCTTGCCACTCTCAAACAGCTCTACAGCCTAGTGGGATCGGTTAGGTGTAATTCTACAAACAGAGTCTCTGTCTCAGGGTAACGTCAGAGTTCAAGAGGCAATAAAGCAATTAAAATAAATTTTAATGTAAATCAAAGTGTTTCTTAGTTTAAACACTAAAACTGAATTTTCTTAAACACTAAAACAGGTTCTAGAGTTAGCACACGGAAACACGTATTAAATCCTGCCCTTCCTTACTACACACTTAACTTCACCTGCCATAGCAGAGCTGGCATTTAGTTTTTTAAAAATTACTTTTGCATCCCTTTTCCACTTCTGATTTTTCTCCTCTGAGATAAAGTCTTCCCCAGATCCAAAGCGGCCATATGCCTCTTGCCCTTTATCTTTTGCTCTTCTTGTTTCTCTTGTTTCACTCTATTTGGATGCTTTGGGTTTAGAGTAATAGAAAATACTAATAAAAGTGACTTTAAAATGAAGATACTTATTATCTGTAACAGAGAATGCTAGCTTTCTACAAAAAAAATCCCATCTTTAATTCACAGATAGATTATATATTCCAGCCTCTCTTGCATGAAGTTTTGTTAAATTTTTTCTCTCCAATGGAATATGAGTGGATATGCACTTCCTGAACTAGCTCATAAAAACCTCCTTTGTATATTTCCTGTGCCCTTTCTTTTTTCATTAACTTTAGGCAAAGGGAAAAAGAAAATTACAAAAGGAAGACTTCTGGGTCCCTCAACGGCCTTGTAAGAAAGAAGAATCCCCATTATCTTGAGCACTTGTCTAGAATCATTGCATAAGGGTAACATAAATGATTACTTTAAGATGCTGAATTTAGGAAGTGTAATATGTTTCAGACACTTCATCTACCCCAACACATTATTACAAAAGAAAAGAGAGAACCAGGGTTGAGTTCGAACCCTAATCACATCAAGGACTCAGGCTCTTTCTGCTTTTTCTGTTCTGCTGCCCTTGATATGTTGGCAAAATCTCCTACCATGGCTGGAATCTGTCATTAGCTACATCATTGTATCCTTACCCAAACTGTACAAAAGCAATATATCTCACTGCCATATAATAATTTATTACTTAACAACAAAACACATATACAACAGTGGTCCTATAAGATTATGAGGAATTGAAAATTTTTCAGTGCCTAATGACATTATACCCATCATAGCATCATAGTATAAAGCATTATTCACATGTTTGTGGTGTAAATGTCATACAGTGTAGCACAATTATATACAGTATATAATACCTGATAATGATAATGAAAGGCTAGGTTGCTGTTTATGTATTTACTATGCCATAGTTTTATCATTATTTTAGATATACTCCTAACTATATTAAAAATGAAAGGTTGGAGTACTATTCAGACACAAAGAACAAAATTGCGTCCTTTGTGGAAAAATGCATAGAACTAAAGATCATCATATGAAGTGAAATAAGTGACTCAGAAAGACCCAGACAAACTCAGACTCAGAAAGTATCCCATGTTTTCTAAAGGTGGCATCTAGAAAAAGAAAGAGGAGGAAGAAGGAAGAACATAAAGAATAAGAGGAAGAAAGAGGAGGAGGAAGAGGATGAGGAAGAAGCCATTCTCTAATCAATAGCAAAAAGTTGAGAGTGCCATGACTATATCAAGCTCACTCTGACTTATCACCAAAGACTAGAGAGGGGCCCTTCATAACTAAAGGCATTGCTACCTGCCTAATACCTGACCCAAATGGGCTTCTTTTAGCAAGGACAAAACACAGTGTTGCATAGAAAGACAACAGTGTGGTCAAGACCTATTCTTTCCATGTCTCAAATTATGCATTATAAAGACACAATAGAGTAGTTGTGAATTATAGGAATTAGAAATGTGGGAATTTAAGAATTAGAAAACAGACAGGGAAAGTCTCATCAGCAGAATGGTGTAAGGGCCTGAAAACTCTAAGGACTGTATAATGTTTGTTGGGTTATAAATTATCATGCAGTGCATACAATACTGAATCGTGTGGAGAGAAATATGAATAAAGCATTACAAGAGATTAGAAGCCCAAAAGAACTTATAATTGTACACACTGGAAAGGCAATTTGGACCAGGCCTTAAGTGTTGATTAATATTGTAGAGAAATACAGGAATGAAATTCAAATGAAATGAAAAACATAGGGGAAGAGGGGGTGAAGGGAAGGCAGGGACAAGGGGTAAAAATGAGAACCAAGACCTGTCATGTAAAGGTACAAGATCCCAATAATAAATATAACTATACTGTATACCTAAAATGTACCAATAAACTCAATGAAAAAAAAAGAAATGGACATAATCAAGTGCACAGAAGAAATTCTGAAAAGAGAGAATAAAGTAGTAGAGAGTTTCAGTCTTCTAGGTATAGGAGGCTGAGAGAATAAGCACACGGCCATCATGTAGTATTTATCCTGTCCCATATACCCAAAGCTTCTTCTCCAGGGAACTGTGAAGCTGTATCACCTGACTTCATACAAATTCTTTCACTGATCTCAACTTTTGAGACTTCACCAGAAAAATGTTCCTTGATAACACACCCTCCACTAGATTTAGAGAAGCTTCCTTCCTCTCCCATCCAAACACAAATAGTGTTAATTACTTAGAGATTTGCACTGGGTCCCAATTTTGTGTCAATATTATACTGAAATCTCTAACTGCATTATTTCACTTCATATTCCTAACAACATTAAAAGGTAGCTCATAATATTTCCATTTAACAGGTAAAGAATCTTAATCTCAACAAGGTTAAATAATTAGCACATAATCACAAAGCTAGTATGAGGTAGAGTCATAGCAAAGTGTATTTACTCCAAAGTCAATAATCTCTCCATAGCTCTACACTTCTCTATTGAGACAATGGCCATGAAAATTTCATAAGAAATCATCTTTTTCTCGACTGTTACTCAAAGTTTTCAGTGCATACAAATAATACCAATATTTCTAGAATTCAATAAGTCATAGAAGGCTTTTAAAGCAGGGACGAAACAGGGAAAAGGAGGTGTTTGGTGGTGTTTTAGGAAAAGATTATAAAACTATATGGAAAAGAACTCCATTTAAAGGAATGTACAGGAAATGTAATTTATTACGCTATTCCATAGGAACCTCTTGAATTCCAATTGTAAAAGGTACAGCTGGTGTTATGGCTTATATCTAGATGTGTACCCAATGCCTCAGGCAATCATAGGTGGGGCTTTTGGGAGTGACTGGGTCATGTGTATGTGATTATTCCACTGATTGGTTTAGCATAGTTCTGGGTGTGGATTTACTGAAGAAGGAAGACCCACCCTGGATGGATCCAATAGACTTGTAGACTGGATGAGATAAAAGGGAAAACAAGAAGAAGCTGCTGCTGCTTCCTGCCTGCCACTCCATGAACTGTTTCTCCTTTGCAGTGTCCATCTGCCATGTTCCCCTTCCTTAAAGCCAGCTGACTATAGACAGACATCTCTTCAAAGTCTGAGCCAAAATAAACCTTTCTCCCTTTAGCTTGTAAATGTTGGGTATTTTGTTCCAGCAATGAGAAAGTAACTAAGACAGATGGACTCCAGGAGCTGAGCTTCCCTCTAGTAGATAGTAAATCTTAATTCTCTCCCCTGAGCCCTCACAGTCTCCAGCTCCAGGTTTGCTCTGTCTTGTATTTCACTCTTCTGTTTCTGCATAAAAACACCTATGCTTACTCATATTCATCCCAAGACAAGAGTCTCACTCGGTTGTATTGTTGTGCCCAAGTCGCAAAGTCCCCAAAG